AACTATTTTTTTCTCTCTGTGTACGATATATCCGAGAAACCATCGCCACTTTCTTGCGCAACGTTGTCCAACTGCTGTGCAATTCGCGCAATCGCCGTGCAAAATCTCTCGATCGCGGCGCAAGTATCTCGATTTCTCCCGTGAGAAGTGCACGAATTATAAAATACATGTAATAAGAAAATGGAAAAAGAGAACTGCATTAGGCCTGCCGTATTCCGATGTTGGACCGATCGTCATTTTATTAAATTTGAATTTTGTGGAAACAAAAGATACGATATCCGAGAAACCATTGCCACTTTCTTGCGCAATGTTGTCCGACTGCTGTGCAATTCGCGCAATCGCCGTGCAAATGTCTCTCGATCGGGGCGCAAGTATCTCGATTTCTCCCTCGATTAAGAAGTGCATGTATTATACTATTCGCGGCTAAAGACGCAAACGAGTCAATCTAACGGCTATACGGTCGTACCTTACACCTCTCGCCGGTGGTGTTTCCAGCGCGGGCCGGTATTGAACTTGTCATTATCGTAGCGCCCGTCGATGACTGCGACTGCGAAGGTTTACAAGCAGAGAGGAGTGACCATCGCGCGACAGTCGTTGGCGCGGCGTAAACGTCAAAGATAGCGCGATTTCAGCTCTTCGGCGCCGGTTACGCAGATAAAGGCCCGCGCCAAGCGCCGGCTTTAGCCGCGGCGACAGCCTTCGGGTGTAATTGCTTCTAATTTTACACACTTTTATCATTTATCGTCGCCGCCGATTCTTTTTCCGTCCTGCGCTGGCGCTACGCATCCGCCGCCGCCAGCGTCGCTCGGCCCCCGGAACGCCGGCCGCGCCGATTCGTATTCGCGATAAATGGCACGTGGTGCCCATTGTACGCCGTTCTAATTACATATCGGCGAGACAATGAGATCGGGGGCTCTCGCGGGCGGCCGTGCAAAAATCGCCCGGCAAACGCGACATTTTTGCCAAGATAACAGCCGCCAATTGCGAACGGCCATCGAAAGCTCGGCTCCGCAAAATGGAACGCGCGCGCGCGCGCGTGCACCCTTTTTTTTACCCTTATTTGTGCGCGCGCGCGCAATGAAAAGTCTCGATAGAGAGATATTAGAGCGGATATCGGCATGGGCGCGAAATTAAAACAAAGCTGCTAACAAACCATTGTAAATAAGCGATTTCGTAAAAGTGTTGCGCGAAAATACACAATATCTCGAAATGCGAAGCGAATAATATCGCCGATGAAGGCAGAAGGTTGCTTATACGCGCGAAGCAATGTGGTGCTTCGTTCTGTTAGTTGAAAAAAATACTGGTTTTATTTTCACCTTCGACTATAAACAGTATCGGTTATTCCGCTCTTTCTGCGTTCCGTTACCAATTTCCGCAACACGAAACGCGCGAAGCACGAAAATCAACGCGATGGATTTTCCGGTGAAAAAAATCTGATAACTAGATTTCCGGATATCGTTTATATCCCCGAGGTTTTGCAAATTCGTATTTCGCCGGCCGTGTCTTAAAAAAGAAGAAAAATGTCTTAGTATTTTTCGGCGCTCGACAGCGCAGAGCCGAAACACCAGATCTGCAGTTTTGTTTACGGACAATTAGCCGCGCGGATTTATCGGCGAAAATTAGGTCAACGTTTCTAGCGATACTATCGTACGTGCGCACACGTTTTAACGATTAAGCTGGACAAATAGATAGAAAAGGTGGGTGAACGTTCGATCGATGACGCTTTTCATATCTCGCGAAAGGGCTCCCTTTGTCTCGCCGGGAAACGTAATCCGCGAGCATTTACACGTCACGACACCATTGATAATTCTGATTACATTCATGCTTTTCTGCACGCACGCACGCACGGCGTTTACGTGAGCCGTATTTGCCGCGGGTTTATCGTAATGCGTCTAGAAAATCAGTTTAGCCGATTGCATCAGGGATAATCTGTGCGGTTATTAGCGGTAATGAGCCCTGGTGGTTCGATTATGTTCTCCCCTCTGGGCTCACGCACGCGTATTCGATGGATTTGTATTATAAAGCGGTTAATCGGTCCCTATTAATCCACGATGTGATTATCCGTCTTGTGTCTCAATCTGACGGGACGCGACGCTCAGGCTACGGATGTCTTTCTCCAATAAACTTCTTGTTTTGGCGAGAAAAATGTGGAGGTGGCGCCTTTTAATTTAGATGGAATTTTATAAAGCAGTATTTCCTCGCAAGGTACATCGTAGAAAGTCAGATATTTAAATTTATTTCCATTATTTCGTTTAACCCAATTAAGTAATAACAGCATTTTGAAATTGAAAATTTTCGCTATTTCGTATGAAACGACGATCGATAAACGTCCCATATTTATTCAATTAAATTAAAGTTTTGTCATGCTCTTTTTCAATTTCCCATGTAGAATAACGGGCCGCCCTTTGTTGAAATAAAACCCACATTATATTTTTATTGTAATATTATATTACAGGAGCGTTTAATTTCAACCGTTGAATTTATCGCGAATGTGGTTGCGCGTTGCGGCGGATTTAACGCGACGTCCTACGAAAGATCAACGGAAACACGCGGGCGGTAATAAGAGAGAAATATTACGTGAAAGAAATCATTGAAACTACAAATAGATTCGTCGTATACACGTATATACGGTGGAGGATAGCAAACTAATCTTCGCATTCATGAGATACTCTCGCGGATATAGGGCGACGAGAGCGTCATACCTCGGACAGAAACCCAAGAGTTTGTTTTGAGTTTTGTTGCGTGATCAGTTCGATGCAATATCATTGGCGAGAATTCAGATTCGAAGCTTTATTTCCCCCCAGAATTATCAGAGTATTTGGGAGTATTCCGGATTGTTGCGCCTGCAACGGGCAAAATAGGATCTGCGTGAAAAATCAGGCCATTGGCACATGTAAAATGTTTTTTACACCATTCATTCTCTTAGGTCACTTCTGCGAACAGAAGATATAAACGAGTGAAATATTTAATTACGAATTTCAAGCTTTTCTTTTAAAAAACTTTTTTTTATGTAAGAAATTAAAGCATCGTTCCAGCTTTACACCTGCAAATTTCACATACTTTTCAGCGTGAGTCTTTTTTAAGTATGAAACTTTTTTATATAAGAGTATTGGTACCCTTCCACGCAAAATGTTTTACAAAAGAGACTAAAGTACAGTTTCCTGAAATGATCAAATCACTTTAATGCGTTGCTTAATATACGACCTTCTATGGAAACACGAAACCTCTAACATTTTATGCACGACTTAAAATAGTTTCGGATAAAATAAAAGATTCCAATAATAGCCAGTACCACTAACGGACTTGACAGAAAATTGGCGGAAAACATCTGGTGAACCAGGGGTCAAGACGAGAGCGAGAACGATATACCGAGACCTGTCAGAGCCGAGCACGTTGTTGACGCGGAACAATCGTGCTGTTCCACGTATGATTGCTCGAGAGGTTCGCGCGAGGCTGCCCATCTCGTTCGTAAATGTCGGATAGAAGATCGATCGTTTAATGCGCTCGAAACTTTCAACGAGAACGTCCCGCCGGATTTATCCTCTATCATAGGTATTGCCGACTGGGAGCCAAATTCGATTAATGCGATACAGTATAGCGGATTATTTCGAGACAACAATTTGAAACCTCGGTGACATTTGATCACCGCAGTTTACATATACCGGCGAAATACATTTGGGAAAGACGTAATAAAACGGGATAATTACGTATCGTTTGTATTAAGAGTTTAACTTTAATTTAGACAGCTAAAAAGATTTATTCCTGAACTGTCGACAAATTTTAATAAAAGTGCAATAACGTTTATAACGTTAATATGACAAAAGAGACAAATAATTAATATACGATAAGGAAGATCATAATACTCTTCTATTTACGAAGAAAAAATTTGTTTGTTATTATGATGGCAATTAGAAAATTATTCCTTTGTGTCGGAAGCGTAGTTTCTTAAAGCGGAACACCGTGCCGCTCCCATCATAGAAGAATAATTTTCTAATTACTATAATTATCGCAAACACAATCTTTTTATATTAGAATATAAGTAAAAAATATTACATCATTACATAGTGAAAAACAAATATAGAATTAAATAAATTATATAACTGAATTATATAATAATAACTGAATAATATGCAATACATTGAACGTGATAAATTGAATACGTTCCGTACATTAGAAAGGGCTATTTGCAGGATTACTTTATTAAATCAATTCTTATTAATTCTAAGCGAGAAATTTTAGACGACACATTTTTGATAATAAGAGTCCCTTGTCACTTAACGTAGGAGCTAAATATCGTTCACTAATGCTGTAATTTTGCCACATTGAGAAAACCCGCAATATCCAGAGTAACAAATTTTATATGGGAGGAGGAGTGAAGTTTCTTAGCTTACTGATATCGTTAAACTGTCAAAAAGTTGAAACAATAAAGAAAGTATAAGCGCAATTCTTATAAATCTCAAATTTCTCTTCCGCTTCTTATTCCACATCCAATAAAAAAGAAACTTGCATATTTGTAGCGAGCATACCTCTACCTCTGCATAACAAGTCACGCTTTGTGTGTAATTAAAAATAAATTCCTATCACAAATAACTTGCCGTCCACAAATCATTCCATCTAAATGAAGCTGCGTTACGTCCGAAAAGAAGCCGGCGCGCGGGACACGGTAGAAAACGGTATATGATTTCACATTTTAGATTACAATTATTGGGCTACCAACATCTTGCACGGACCTAAAGGCGCTCGCGCTTGTTTGACACATAACAATTAATTTCTCTTCATTTTGTAACGCGTAATAAACTTGAATCTGATCGTTGCGAAACGTGGCTTGCTCGCGGCGGATTGACATTTTATCAACTTCGCGTTTAAATGTATCAGCCAAGTTTAAAAGATTGCTCAATTCGGAGTAATAAACGGGGTCGCTTATAGTGCAAAACAAATAAAGATAAATCTTTATTCGCACGTTCAGTGAGCGATTCATCGCGCATGTCCGTTGAATGAACGGATGCGGATTTCTTTTTTCTTTTTTTTTGATACATCGGTTGGAAACTCCTAGGCAGATGAAATTTGTACGAGCACGGACCAAATCCTAGAGGCCGGATCGGAAAGCACGAATGAGAGATAGTTAATAAACCAGGCAGCGCCGTGAGGCGGCGGCGGAACGAAGGGAGACACACAAAATCCCGGAAATTAGGATAAATCGTGGAGCAATATCGAAGGATCTAATATACTCGATATATTCCACAGGACCTCGTATCCGCCGATTTGGTTCCCCTTCAGACCTGCGTCCAATCAGGGAAAAGGACGAACTTTAGTGGTAAACGCCCGTTTCATCAGCGCGTTTACTTCGCTCGTGGAGATCTATTTAATCTCGCTTATCAAACAATTACGGTCCAAGCTACGAGAGCGCGATAATGTTTCATCGACCTCGGGACAGCTGTTGAATTTGGCCACCGAATATAATCTCCTAATTGCAATTTAGCATCGTATGACGTACTAATAGTTATTATTAATGATACACAAGATTAATATATTTGTTTATAAT